GCTGTTTCATAATTCAGTAAGTAAAAGTATTGTGAAGCTTCTAAGATTCTTCTAAGAATGTTCTCATAGCATAATTTGCTTCTGGTTCATGGAAGTGCCATATAGCAAGCTCACTTTTGAGGATGACTTAAACTATGGTCAATCTAGTTGCACATGTGTGATGGAATGGATTAAAACCTCATTCCCCAAAAAGAGTGTATTGAGGATGTTGTTCTGTAGATTGCAAAAATTTCTTGTAAAAATCTTTAGTTTGTATGCACTCATGTCAGACCTTTCATTCCAGATGGCTATTTCCAATACGCCATCTCTACATATGCCTTAAAATACTGTTCTGATCTCGTCTTCCTTCTCCCAGCAAATGAATTATTTAAAATTCTTTTTATAAAGAGATAATCAGCTAAAGAGCTTTCTTAAAGGTGGCAAAACTAAAAAGCAAATTAGTTTTAAGATTTCAAAAAAATTAGCTGACTATTCATTTATTATAATGTTTTCAGACTACTTTAGAATTCTCAAAGGAAGAATAATGGTCTAGTACAGTGCTATAAGGTTTCCTTTATGGACAGAGTAAGCCATTTAATCTTGACAGACTCAACTGTTTTTGATTTTCTGCCATGGACATCCATCAAAGAAATAGTAGTTGTGATTAATAGCATTTTGTCCACTAACCAAAAGCATTTATAATGTATACCTGGAATATATTCCAATATGGAGGGTAACATTACAGTTTAAAAAAAGTTCAGCAACCAAAAAAATCAATATGAGTTGGGAGAAAAAGCTTTTATGAAAGTACTTTTAAGACATACAGAAAAGAAATTTTTAGATTTTTCATTAGTTTTAAGAAAAAGTAAAAGAAAAACCTTAGGAAAATTAATGCAAAATACTTTTTCCCATTTTAAAATGAAAATCATACTATTTACTTGTCAATGTACATGTTCAAAATGTGTAGATTCTCTGAAGTTGAATAGATCATTGTACATTTTTTATTAGCTAACAAGAACCTCTCATTGCCACTTATTTTCTGCCACCAGACTAAAAGTTCTAGAATTGCGATGGCAGCAGTGCAGGTGAAGTGCTACAGACTTAGAAAAATGGCAGTATCCAAAAATTGACTCTATGTTTTCATAATTACAGGGAGTCACATTTCCTCCCACCACACAGAGACCCATGAGATAAAAGCAAAACTGAGAATAGAAGTGATGTGCTAACATGCTCCTAAAGCAGACTTGCACGTAGATTAGCTTTGGGGAGTATGCTTGCAAAAGTTATCAGCCTAGAAAAATTTTCCAGATGGATATATGTGGGGAAGGCAAAACGGAAATGGAAATATCATTGTATAGAGCATATGTTCACCATTAATTCATTCATTTATGCATTTATTTATTAAAGAAGCAAATATGTAGTGGGTTCCAATAACCAGAAAGGCACTGGACTTAAGCAGTAAGAAAGGATCTCCATCCTCAGAGGGGAGAAGAGAATTTGCATCTGTTGATTTGTTGTTGTAGTGGCCAGGCTCTTCACATAAGTTATATCAACTCGGGGAACCCTGGGTGGCGCAGCGGTTTAGCGCCTGCCTTTGTCCTGGGGCGTGATCCTGGAGACCCAGGATCGAATCCCACGTCGGGCTCCCGGTGCATGGAGCCTGCTTCTCCCTCTGCCTGTGTCTCTGCCTCTCTCTCTCTCTCTGTGTGACTATCATAAATAAATTTAAAAAAAAAGTTGTATCAACTCTATGAAGTTTTATTTTTTATCATTCCTCCTTTTATATCTGAGGAAGCTGAGCCTCACAGAGTTAAATAGGTTGTTTGAGGTCATGCAAACAGTGAGTGGCAGAGTTAGACTTCCAAACTTGCTCTGTCTCTGAAGTCCACTACACCATGGTGCCTAATTTGGCAGGAAAGACAAAAACACACACAATGGTCCATAACACAGATCACCGTGATGAAGACTGTGAGAGCGATAGAGGCAACTTGCTGTAGGAGCATGTGGCAGGAAGCTCTTCATTCTGCTCGTCTCTAAGTCACCTCTCCTGGCACAGAGAAGTTGGCACTTGAGGTAGGCCTTGAAGGTACATGGGGAAGAGCGCTTTGGTATAGACACGAAAGTGCACTGCAGGTAGGATAAACAGCTTATAGTCTCACAGGGCTGGAAGCAGTGTTTCTCACACTTGTTTTATTCATACTAGAGTCTTGAATTTTAGGTTATTTGGCAGCAGCCTCAGACAGTGCCACAGCCAGCAATCATTATAATACAATGAGTCTCATGGGCTCTGGAGTTAGGATATAGACTTTGATTCTCGGCTCTGCCACTCGCCACTTGTGGGAACTGGAAAACCATTTAAGCCTTGTTTGATTAAATGAGGATAATCCTCATGAGGCTATTTTAAGGAGAATGTGAGTTGATATATGTAAACTGCTTAGCTTAGTTTATAGCACATGGTATACACTCACTAAATTGGCTGTTACAAATGCGTCATAATAATATCTGAGGATATCTATTATAGCATCCAGTTATTGCAGGATTCTCTTGCCTTTTGTATCACGGCCTTGTCTGAAACAGCACTCTACTATGCTGTACTAAGCTCTCCTAGGTACTTATATGAGACATACATTCAGTAACTTTTTTTTCCTGCTGGCTTGCTGTTTCCTTGGGCTTCTTCTACTCTCAACAAATAGAATCTTCTTCTTTACTGCATTGCAGGACCCACTTGACTTAATGTACAATTTGGCAGATATCACAGAATAATGTGTATATTTAGGTTCAGCAAAAATTACTTTACCTATTCCACCACTTTGATAGCACATATGGGGAGGATATAGAGTGTGCCCTAGCCTAGTGGTTGCGAACCAATGGTACAGAGTGGGCTACACTGGGGTCAGGAAGGGTACAGGGGAAGGGGAAGTGTAGTAGGAGCAGTCAGTCAGGTTATGGTCAGATTGGAAAGGACCTTCACTACCATGCTGAAGGATTTGGTCTTGGTCCTGCAGAAATGGAGAGCCAAGGATAAAACAAAAGTAGATGAACAGACGGAATTGTGCCCCCTGCCATTCCGATGTGGAAGCCGTACCTGCATGGGTAGCTGTATACTGAGATAGGGCCTGTAGGGGGGTAATGAGGGTTAAATGAGGTAATTAAGCTGGGGCCCTAATATGATAGGACTGAGGTCCTTATAAGAGGAGGAAGAGACACCAGAGTTCTCTCCCTGTGCGATGTGAGGACCCAGTGGGAAGTTGGCCATCCACAGGCCAGAAAGAGAGGTTTCATCAGAAGCCAACTATGATGGTATCTTGATCTCTCTCAGCTTTCAGAACTGTGAGAAGATAAAATACTCAGTCTGTGGTATTTTGTAACCACAGCCCTAGCACACCAATACAGAAGGAGACAAGCATAACTGGACTTGGGTTTTAGGAATTTAACTAGCACATTGTGGAGGACTGCTCTGCATAGTCTTTGGTCCACTCTATATATTCCTTAAGACTCAGCTCCTTTGGGAAGATTTCTTGATTCCCTAAATTTCACTTTGATGTTCTTCATGTTCCCATAGTATTATGTGCATAGCCATCTATCATAAGACTGTATCATAACTTTTGACTTTGTCTCTCCCACCAGACTGTAAACTCCTTGAGATCAGGGACCACATGTTATCTGTGTATTCCCAGCATCTAGTATGGTACTTGGCACTTAGTACTTCTCAATCAATATTTGTAGAATTAAGAAATTAATATAGAAGAAACTGAGGTAAGGAAACCAGTTCTAAGACCTACTGATATGATAGACCATCAGAACATCCACCTATAACTCACAGTCTTAACTGTTTGACAAAACATGATAAGAACTGACAAAAGTTTGTTCTTTATTTTTTTTAAGATTTTATTTATTTACTCATGAGAGACACACACACAGACAGAGAGAGAGGCAGAGGGAAGCAGGCTCCATGCAGGGAGCCCGACGTGGGACTCAATCCCGGGTCTCCAAGATCACGCCCTGGACTGATGGCAGCGCTAAACTGCTGAGCCACCAGCGCTGCCCAAAAAGTTTGTTCTTTAATCTTTTATTTTTAATCTCCTCCAAAAATGAAATTAGAAAGTGTTGAGGAAGTTGAATTTAATGATTTTTACCTCACTAAAAGTTAGACTCCATCCCACCCATTAAGTCCTGGTATAAACACAGAGTGCCTAATATCCTCAAGAAAAAAGAAAATGCTGACTATTTATAATCACCTCATTTGTTTGGAGGAATCCCCAGTAGTCTATAAAGTGAATTAATGCAGTCGGCAAACACAAATGCATTATTCTATAATCTATGTAGAATTCCCGATAAGTCTTTCAGAGTTTGCCAGTATATCCAATGATTAAAGACATTAAGCCCAAATGAATCTTCTATCTTTGCTTTTATAGCACAGGAACAGTTACAGGAATGGAACTTATCCATTAACAAAAAAAAAAGTTCCTATAAATCACTGTATTAATTGCAGAGTTAAAGTCTGTGCCTGTGTTAAGGAAAGCAAATAAGAGATGTTGCTAAAAAGAGACGTGTTCAGTTGATTTGACTGTATTAATGTGTTCAATTTCAGCTTTTAGTCAAAATGGTTCTAGATGACAGGCTCATTCCTCTGAGTCTGTCACTTAATCACTTAATTTTGACCTATTAAGATAGTCAATTCTATTTGATTTTTTTCCAATTGTTACAATGTTCTTAGAATGTTGTATATGATTCGGGGCTTTATTGGATGGAAAGTGTGTGAATCCATTCCCCCCCTTTTCCCTCTGACACTCTTGTTCCTGTATATCCTTAGGCTTTGGCAGATGCCGACAGTAGCCAAAATTTAATGGAATTTTTAAATCTTCAATTAAAATTCTAATAAGGTTTCTCTAATTGCTCAAGCTGATGTACCAGAAGTAGAAATTTTTTACATATATGTGTTTAAAAAGAATAACTGGGATTATTTAGAAAATAATGAATTTCTAATGAAAATCAGATGACTTTCTGAAATATTGGCCTACCTTTTGAAGATACTTTTCTTTCTCCTCAGATTCCTGAATCTTTATGGTTTCAGAAGTGACATCTGTATTCTCTAAAGGAAATAAAGTCAAATTCAATCTGAAATAATTTTATCATGATTTTATAAAATGCTGATATAAACTTGGATAAATGTTAAAAGGTAACAGAGTAGGAAGGTAAAGACAAATATGTACTGTCTTGAAACTTCACAAACTAGATTCATAAATAATTGGAGACTGAATTAATGAGCTATGGCAAAGGGAACCTCTAATCTCTTTAGAAGATGAGTAAGCCTGAGTCCAGAGACAAGGTTTCTGAAGAGAATGTATTTGCAGTATCAGAGTTTCCAATTTCTACATTACTATTCAAGATGTTAGGGGAATTTAGACATTCTCCTTTGGATAAATAGGGTAGTCTCTGAGACAGGGTGTTGGTATGCAATTCAGGAAGTTATGCCAAAGTGTAAAGATCTCTCCTTATACTTATTACCTATCTTCTGAAGAATCTAGGAATCAGGATGTTGAAATACATGAAACTTGGTACTTACTGTTTTTCGCAAGGGAGAAAGGCTGGAGGTAAACTTTCTCTAAAAAACACAAAGGGGAGTAAAGAAATTATTGGGAAGACTACAGCATTAAAGGTATTTAAGCTTTCTACAAAAATGGGGTATTTAAGCTTTCTATACCTATAAAAGTTGCATAACAACAGTGTTTTTTTTTTTTGTTTTTGTTTTTTTTTTTTTTTTGCATAACAAGTTTCTATATCTTAGGCTTCCTAAGGTTTTTACAGGTCTGGGAACTTGGTTCCTAATATTGATTCTGCTTTCAACTTTCTCTGAGGCTTTCATGTTTAAACTTGATTATGTAAACAACCACCCTTAACATCCTCTCAGTCAACATATAGCATTTCTCCAGATTATTCTATACTGTTTGGCCAAATAGATGCCATCACCTAAGGGATATTTTCAGATGTGGTTTTAGATGTAACAAATATACCACTGATGCTTTCTGGGTGGAAGGATTGCTGAGAAGTTAAAAAAAAAAACCTGTTTGTATAGGGTTTTTAGACATTTGAAATAATTTCTAATGATTCTTTTTGTATATTTTTTATTGGAGTTCGATTTGCCAACATGTAACACCCAGTGCTCATCCCGTCAAGTGACCCCCTCAGTGCCTGTCACCCAGTACCCCCAACCCCCTGCCCACCTCCCCTTCCACTACCCCTTGTTCATTTCCTAGTTAGGAATCTCTCATATTTTGTCACCCTCTCTGATGTTTCCCACTCATTTTCTCTCCTTTCCCCTTTATTCCCTTTCACTATTTTTTATATTCCCCATGAGTGAAACCATATAATGTTTGTTCTTCTCTGATTGACTTCACTCAGCATAATACCCTCCAGTTCTATCCACGTTGAAGCAAATGGTGGGTATTTGTCATTTCTAATGGCTGAGTAATATTCCATTGTATATAAGATGAATGGATAAAGAAGATGTGGCATATATATATGTGCATATACACACATATATATGTATACACACACACACACACAATGAGATGAAAGATTATTTTAGAATTAGGTTTGTCGGTTTCTCCTGGGAGCTGCTCTGGTTTCTTCCAGGTTGGTTATTTAGGGTGGAGGCAGAAACCAGCGGCGGGAGGCAGCTACTCACCATGCCCAGGGCGCCTAGAGGGCCGGGCCACCCGCAGGCGCTGGCTGCTACCTCGGGGCAGCACCAACTGGGATTCATTAGTAGGATACAGTGACGCAGCGATCCAGAACTGCTTGGCCAAGTTGGAATCCTGTTCGGAAGATCCTGCGAACACCAGTAATCCCTGGGGACAAATTTCAACGGATTCCTGGTGGCTGGGGAGGCCTCCGCCGGCCCTCGTTTCCATGGCAACTCAGGACGCCGCTCCGAGTTTCCTCCTCTTCTGCCAGCCCCGCCCTGCAGAGAACCGTCAAGTTGGCGGCCACCACTGCCCCAAGCCCTCCTTCCTCTCCTGGGTAGATGCTGGGGTCCAGCGCGTGCCTGTGGGCTCTCTGAAGCCCACTTCTGCGCTATCACAGGCTTCCGGACCAGTCCAAGCCTTGGAGGCCCGGGTAGGAAGAGTCAAAACATCAAGGTTGGGGTGGTTCTTGTCCCCCTTGGCCTCGGTAGGGCAGCACTTAGCTCTCTTACAACCTCAGCCAACCTTCAACCCACCCCATACCCAGCTTCCTCCTCCACCCCAAATATATCTAAATATATAAAGCTTTTAAATTCTTAGCTCTTCCACCCCAACCCACCTCTCCTCCCACAACAGATTGCCACAGCTCAGCACACCCTATTGTGGATATTGGTTGGAGAATTCAATAGAGCAGCTAACATCCTAGTCTATGGGAGCCAGAGCTCTGAACTGGGCCAGGAAGTACCTGTGTAAGGTTTTTGTTGTATATTCCCCTCTGCCCCATCCTCTTAAGAGAAATCTTATGGAAGAAGCTGGATTTAGATTGTAAATGCATTTACTAATCAGTCTCACCGAAAGCTGCCTGCACTGCAACAGTTGTAAATGATCACTTAAAAGGACTATATCTGATGTGTGAACTCAGTCCCTTCCTGAAAAAAAAATCATGAAAAATATGAATGTGTATCCTTATAAAAATATTAGTAAATGTGAGTGAATAACTTTCCTGGGAGATTTCGTTAATCTAGGAACAATGAAACCACTTCAGCCATAGCAAAGTTGCAATTACTGTGGCAGGAATTGAGATGGACATTGTAAAGCCAATTCAGGAAAGGTAATAATCACAACTTAGGACCTTAGGGCACTTTATTCTTTCAAAATAATACAGTCTCGCAGTTCAAAAGTTGATTATCACAAGTCTATACAATGACATGGATCAGTGAAGGAAAATATCCTATTTCCCAATTAGCTAAAAAAAATTTTTTTGGGGTTAAGAGCCTGAAGGAAACAAATTATAAAGACATATAAACTATACATTGTGTATTTAGCTGCTAAAATACTGATTTCTCTCTTGGTTAAGCTATTAATAGGCAATGGGTAATATTCGAGCGTTCCAATCCCCTCCCTCCCCCTAACACGCTGATGCGCATGGGCAGCTCATTTGGATGATTCCCAAATCTTTTTACCTGGCCGTGTGGTTAGTGATTGGTACTATTAGCAATCAGCTAACTACACTGCCTAGTAACTAGACTCACAGAAAAACAAGGTCTACTTCCATCACACACTGCAGTCTCAAGTCGGTGCCCCATACGTTGTGACAAGACAAATCACACTGGTTTTCCCTGGTTCAACTGTAGCTCACTTCAGCAGGTGGGCTGGCGAATCCCTTACTAAATACTGGCGATGAAGGGCAGCATGTCCAGCATTAAACCTTACATAGGGCTCCTCCCCCCAATCTAAATGTCACTCTAGCTCACAGTTAGAGCCATTACATTTTACACCTGTCGCTCGCTCTCCTCGCAGGCGGCTTGCCCAATCTTGCTTTTACTCCCGGGGTAGCTAGGAGTTGCGCTGCCCGGAGCAGCAGCCGTCGGCCACCTAGCAGGGTGTCCTCGCAGGCTGACAACGTGCTGGGCGCGCAGCCCTGCGCCCCACAAACGCTGACGCATCAGGTCTCTCCAGGCGTCGCTCGGTGCCAACGCCCGGGGTTGGCCGTTCGCCGCCCGGGGTGGCGTCCTCCTGCCCGCGGGCCGGCGGGTGATGCTGTGCCTTGTTTTGATGGCAGTGGAGTTAGTGATTGTAAGCAGCAGAGTACAATCAGCTAATTACACTGCCTACAAACCGAGCACCGGGCGCCCGCGGGCTGCAGCTCCCGGACGGTCGGCGGCGCCCGCTCCAGGCCCCGAGCCAGCGGGCCGCGGGCCGCGGGGTGCGGGGTGCGGGTCCCCCGGCCTCGGCGATGCCCCCGGCGCGGGCGCGAGGACGACGCCCCGGGCCCCGCCGGACACCTGCGCCCCCGGCCGCGCCCCCCGGGCCAGCGCCAAGTGTCCCCCTCTTCCTCCCAAGGCCGCAGAGCCCCCGCGCCCGTCTCCCGGGCCTCCCGGGTCCCCTCCCCCCGGCCCCCGCCCCCGGTTCCCTTCCCGGGTCCTTCCCTCGAGGCTCCTCTCGGGTCGGGCTCCCACCTCCTCACTCCCCGGGCCGCTCCGTCCCAGAAAACTTGTCTTCAGCCCCCAGCCCGAACCCTAGAGCCGGCGCTCTCAGCCCCGTGAGCCCCGCAGCGCCGAGTGGCCGAGTGCCCGTGGCCGTGGCGGCCCAACCGCCCTTGGAACCCCGCGGCGGAGGGGGCGGGGCGCGCGGGGTGGGGTGGGGTGGGGGAGGGGCGGGCGGGGAGGGAGCTGCGAGCCCCGCCGGGGGCCAGTCCCTGCGGGGGGGAGGCCCTGGAGGCCAGGCCGCGGCGCGGATTCCCGAGTTTCGCTTCCTGCTAGGGCAGTGGTGACCTAGAGCTCCTTCTGCCCTCCCGCTCCCCGAGAATCCCCCCACCCCCCCACCCCCCAGTTTCCAGGCCCGTCCTGGACGGGGAAACAGCTTGGCCCGGTATCAGATTGCAGGCTCCGATTTTCCAAAGGGAGATAGGCCTGCGCGGCCTCTGGCTGTGGGAGCACCGCCTTCGAGGGGCCCCTCTGCACCCTTGTCTTCCCCTGGGGCTTCTCACACCCTCGGAGGGCCCTCCGGTGACGGGGAGGGTCGGCTCTTCTCATCCAGTAGTTAGAGCAAAGCTTGGTGGGCACATACTGATTCAAATGCCTGCTATGTGTTCAGCACCTAAGGTCACACATTCTACCCTCCATATGTATAATCCAGGTGGTGACAAGATGTGAACACGCATTATTGACCAACTCAAGACAATATATGATAAATTGGTAAACTGGGGAGAAATAGAAGAGGGTAGGACGGGGCATCAGTGAGAACTGTAATTGTCAGGGAAGGTTCTCTGAGGAGCCAGGCTTCAGTAGGTCCTCCAAGCAAGACTACATTTGGCTATTCAGGGTGAGGGCTGGGTGGCCAGAAAAACCATGTCTTGCGGACCAGTTACATTTTCTCATTCTCACAATTCCACATCTGATAACGTAGATGTATTATGTGTGTATTTGGAGTAGATGGAACAAAAAGAAGACAGTTACAGAGAGTTTCTGGGAGACCTCTACTAATACTTCTTTCCTTTAGTTACTCCTTCCCCTCTTTTCCTTCAGTGAATGACTCAGGAAAGGATAAAGAACATTCTAATCCCACACTTTGTGGAGTGGAGTTGGTTGGCCCTCCAGTATGGTCTCCATGCATCTGGTATAGCACACTCATTGTTGACTCCAAAAGCTTAGATCTAAATTATTTTCCCCAGAGGAAAATTTCCCAGCTGGAGATTGATTCCCTAAACCTAGGAAATGGCTTCATAGATGCCACTGGTAGCATGAATTAGGGGCAGGTAATCTAGATCCTAAACTCACACTATTAAACCGCCAGAAGAACTTCCCAAGGATGAGCCTGAATGTTACAGCATTATCTTCCAATAAAAGCACATTTTTTTGGCCATATGCATCCTGTGTTCTGAGAACACCAAAGTGAGAAGTAAGAAATTAAAGTATAAAATGTATAGTGCAGAAAACATTAATTCTCAAGATTAACTTGTAAAGTTAAATTGCAAAAGACAGATCACTTCGTCAGATAAGATCATTCATCTTATCTTTGGGAGAGGCACAGTGTTGTAGAATACACCACATAAATCCCACACACTTCTTTAACATGTACAGTGTCCCAAGCCATACCAGACAAAATGCTAGAATCAGAGCTAATTAGCCTGTGAGCTCTCTAGAGGTAACTGTAGAATCAGTTTTGTATTTGATAAATACACATACATATATAAATGCAGGAATGAAATAGCTTCCATTCCATTAACAATATGCAGACTTACAAGTTTTGGTTAGGATATCCTTATAAAAACAATTCTGTTTTTCCAAACTGCTAGTTACTTCACCCGATACAATATTAAATACCTCTTCCTGATTGATGTGTTTTTATTATTAGTCGCATCTTACATTTCTTACCTGAGCTAGATTGCTGCCCTCCAAGGTAGTGGTTGCAGTAGATGCCTTGAAATTTTAGATTTTTAAAGCTTTTCTTCAAAGATAATTTTAAAAATAAAGAAAACATATGTAAAAGTCATCAAGATGCATTGCTTCCAAAAATCACTTTTTTTAAACGCAGTTTATTTTGCAGGTAGTGCAACTAAAAAAAGTAAAAACGAGGAAAAAAATGTGGCCTTGTCCTGGTCTTTCTTTCTTTCTTTCTTTCTTTCTTTCTTTCTTTCTTTCTTTCTTTCTTTCTTTCTTTCTTTCTTTCTTCTTTCTTTCTTTCTTTCTTTCTCTCTCTCTCTCTCTCTCTCTCTCTTTCTTTCTTCTTTCTCTTTCTTTTTCTTTCTTTCTTTTTTTTTTTTTTTTCAAAGAATGCTTCTTCTTAGGGTTGCTGTTGATTTGGCCTGTAGTTACTAGAGAAACTCCAAGGATCTCATTCCCTTTATGGTTCATGTCTAGGCATGCCTGGAGACCAGGGAGACCCATGATTTAATCTAAGTAAGAATGCTTGTGGTGTTTTAAATGACCAAACAGAAGATTGCATTTATTTTAGACAAAACCAGGAAGGTAGCTTTCAGAGCAATTGTTTACTGTTTTATTGAATTTCTGGGCTTTTGGTGATTCGAGTGATGAGGAAGGAGTGCTAAGGAGAGGAGATGAGGTTGGTGATTAGGAACAAACCCAGAAGAGTATAGAAAACACATACCTTCTGGTTCAGCTTTGGAAAATTTGTATTGGTTAAATTTACCACTCCTCAATAAAAGACTAGAGCGATGGGAATTGGGAATTAAAATGGAGAAAAACTTGCTCTCTTCTTTAATATAA